TAGAAGTCTTACAACCAAATAGCAAAAGAAACAAATAACCCAATTACAAAATGGGCAAAGGGCCTGACTGACATTTTTTTCAAAGAAGATACATGGAAAGCCAATAAGGATATGAAAATATGCTCAACATCACTAGTTATTAGGGAGATGTAAATTATAACCGCAATGAGATACCACCTTATGTCATGGTCAGAAAGAGAAGCAATAACAAATGCAGGATGTCGAGAAAAGGGAACCCTTATGTACTGTTGGTGGGGTTGTATGTTGATACAGCCCCTATGAAAAATAGGATGGTGAATCCTCAAAAAAAAAAAAAAAATAGAAAAATAGAACTGCCGTATGATCTAGCAATTCCATACCCAAAGGAAATGAAAACTCTAAATTGAAAAGTTAAATGCACCTCCATGTTCATGGCATTATTTATAAATGCCATTTATTATTTATAATAGCATTATATAACATATAATGGCATTATTTATAATAGCCAAGTATAAAAGCAACCTAAGTGTCTAAATAAATGGATAAAGAAGTTGTGATATGTGAACTCATGTGCCTGTGTGCACACACGCACATGCATACTCACACACCCATACAGAGGAATATACCAATAATTAAGCCACAAAAAAGGGAGAAAATCCTTCCATTTGTGACAATCTGGATGGACCTTGAAGGCATTTTGCTATATGAAGTGAGAGATAGACAGATACTGCATGATTTCACTTATAAATGGAATATATGAAAAAGCAAACAAAAGAACCAAGTCATACTCATAGAAAAAGTGATGATGGTTGTTACCAGAGGCAAAGGGTGGGAGACTGGAACTGAAGGAACATAATCAAAAGGTACAAACTTTTATAATAAATATTAGGGTTGTATTATAGGCAATTCTGCTACATGATATATAAGAATGTTAGGAGAGTAAATCCTAAGCGCTCTTAACCCAAGGAGAAAATTTGTTTCATTTTTTATTTTCTTTTGATTGTATCTATATGAAAAGATGGATTTTAGCTGAACTATTGTGGTATCATTTCACAAATATGTAAATCAAACCACCATTCTGTATACCTTAAACTAATTCTGTGAGGTATGTCAACTATTGGTCTCTCTATGAACCTGTATGTGTAGGGTTTGGGAAAAGCATTCCTGCATGACTGCCCTAAGATAATGGCCCACATCATGAGGCAAGCCTGGGGACACCTAGGTAGCCATTAATGTGATGGTATGGTCATGGCGGTCATGGCCTGAGGTGGTCTGGGAATAGTTCAGAGATTACACCAGGTACATACCATTATTTGCACAGGAAACCCTCTTTGTATGTATGGTCAGCACAACACTCCCCATTCCATATATATGGTCAACATGTCCCCTCTAGTTCCCCGTGAAAAAAATGATTACCCTTTGTCTCTCCTGGACCCTATTCCTCATGCTCTTATCACATAATTAATCATGCTTGCTTGTTACTGCTAATAAATAGCAAGAGGGCTGCACTGAGCGGCCATCTTGCGTTGCAAACTTGGTGCATGACTTGTCTCTCTCAGTGTGCTCCTGATACAGAAAACTATTTTTCAGTAATAAAGCTAGATAAAAAAAACCACAAAAGATCAATGTTTCGATTAAAATATTACTAAAACAGTTGAGGAAGAAGGATCTTATTGTGGTTTCTTTTGAAAAGACTGGGTTTGGCAATGGATACTTTGGTGTGACACCAAGAGCACAAGCAACAAAAGGGGAAAAACTTAATAAATTGGACTTCATGAAAAAAAAGGGGGGGGGGCAAAGATTTGAACAGATATTTCACCAAAGAAGATACAGAGCTGGCAAACAAGCATATGAAAAGATATGCCACCTAATATGTTACCGTGAAATACAAATTAAAACAACTATGAGATACTGCTGCAGACCTATTTGGTAAAGAAATGGAGCAACAGGAACTTTCATTCACTGCTGGTTAGGATGCAAAAAATGGCAGATCCACTTTGGAAGAAAGTCTGATGGTTTCTTACAAAACTAAACATACTGTTACCGTGTGATCCAGCAGTCATGCTCCAAGGTCTTTACCCAAAGGAGTTGAAAACTTACATCCACACAAACACCTGCACGTGAATGTCTAAAGCAACTTTATTCATAATTGATAATACTTTTAAACAACCAAGATGTCCTTCATTAGTGGGAGAATAAATAAACTGTAGTACATCAGACTGGCCCCTCCAAAAAAAAAAAAAATAAATAATAAGCCATCAGGTCACAAAAAGACATGAGGGAATCTTAAATGCACATTACTAAGTGAATAAGTCAATATGAAAAGGCTACATACTATATGATTACAAATATATGATATTCTGGAAAAGGCAAAACTACAGATAAAAAAATCAATGGGGAGAGAAGGATGAATAGGTAGTGCACAAAGAAATTTTTGGACAGTGAAACTACTCTTTGTCACTGTAGTGTTGCATACATGTCATCATACATTTTTTTAGACCCACAGAATCTACAAAACAAAGAGCAAGCCCTAATGTAACTATGGGTGATGACATGGCAACATAGATTCTAAGTTAATAACAATTGCACCACTTTAGTGCAAATGCTGATAGTGGGGGAGGTTATGCATGTGGAGGAAGCATATAGGGCTTTTCTGCATCTTTCTCTCAGTTTTTCTGTGAATCTGCAACTGCTCTAAAAATATATTTTAAACATTTCAAATATCATTGCTTTTGACCTCTGCCTGTATTTTACCAACTTTTTGGTGAAACAAACCCTGTAAAAATATATTTTTTTACATAATACAAGGAAAGAATGATGGAAAGTGCAGCAGTGTTGCATTGGGTGCAAGTATGCTAACAATTCACTATGTGAAGGAATATTTCTCATGGAAATATAAGAAGAGAAAAAGTGGTTAAAATTGCCCGAGAAACTGTCATTTTAGATTGGTTAATCATAGGCAAAATGGTAAAATGTTTTATCAACTTACCTGATTTTCTACATTTAGTTCACTTCTTTCCTTTTTATTATTATTTTTTTTATAGAGGCATGTTTTATTTATTTATTTGTTTGTTTGTTTGTTTATACATGCACTGGGTACAGTCAGAAGCGCGGGAGGGTGAGAGAATTCACCAAAGCCAGAGCAGGATGCAGAACAGGCAGAAGGACCGAAGTACACTGCTGAGGGGAGCAGCGGGCGGCAGGAGAGGTCTGCGCGCCATGTGGGACCCTCCTCCAGTGGCTGGGGAGCAGCCGGGGATCGAACCGGCGCTGCAGAGGCTGCGGGCAGCTTCGCAACCCAGCGCTCAACCTCTGCGCCACCGGGGAGGCCCTATTATTATTTTATTATTGCTTATTCCTACTTATTATTTTTTTTTAAGATTTATTTATACAAGCACTGGGTACAGTCAGAAGAGTGGGAGGGTGAGAGAATCCACTAGAGCCAGAGTGGGGAGCAGAACAGGCAGACTGACGAAACATACTGCTGAGGGGAGCAGCGGGCACAGCAGGAGAGGTCTGTAGCTCCACGTGGGACACTCATCGGTGGCCGGGGATCGAACCCGTGCTGCAGAGGCTGTGGGCAGCTTCGCAGCCCAGCGCTCAACCACTGTGCCACCAGGGGAGGCCCATTCCTAATTATTATTTTGCAGGCTCATCATCCTATGTGAGTATGTTGGAAATTTCGACATGCTAGTTCATTAGATGCAAAAGGTCTGGGCTATAACATCTTTCTCTGTGCACTTTTCCTTTTCTCATCTCTTCGCTCCGCAGCTCCTATATCTTTCTCATTCAAATCTTTTTTGCCCTTTCTCCACTTTCCTTCGTATGTTTTTGAAAAAGGATGAATCAGAAAAAGGGAAAGAAGGAAGAAAAACCTGTGAGGGAAGTAGGTCACATGGGGAGTAGATTTTGCCCAATAGTAGCTCATTCTAAAAATAAACTGCCCTTATCAATAAAAAGAATAGAAAATATTTACGTATTAACATTTTTTTCTTTACTTGTATCTCTTTCCTGCCTGCTTGCTCTTGACTAGCAAAATAAACCCAAAGACCTCAGTCTCCCTTTTTTTTTTTAATAAATATATACAGCGTTTAACTCTTTCTGGGTATTGTTTCTTTGGATTAACTTCTTCAGGATTCTATGAAGATTTTGCATTAGCCTATTAGTCTAAAAGACCATGCACATCTTTCTCCATTAGGTTTTTTTTCAGTAACCACTTAATTGTTGTTATGCTTGTCTTCTCCCCAAAAATAGCACCTCTAGGTCCTTAATTCTGAAGGATACTTTTGCTACTTGTAGTGTTGTCTTTTTTTTTTTCCCCCTGTTGGTAGGTTTTACTAGTTTTTCTCTGCATATCATGTTTTTTTTCCTGTCCTTCAAGATATGGCTTAAATTCATTTCCTCTATTAAGTTTTTAAATTTCTCTACTTACTTTCCAATTGTGCACTTGCACCATTGCACATCTGTGGCAGGCCAAATAATGGCCCTCAAAGATGTCTACTTTTAATTCCCCAAAATCTGTGAATGTAACCTTACATGTCAAAAGCAATTCTGTGGATGTGGTTTAAGTTAAGGACGCTGAGGTAGGGATTATCCTGGGTTACGTTGGTGAGCTCAGTATAATCATGAGGTTTCCTATAGGAAGGGAGGTAGGGAAATCAGAGACGGAAGGAAGGTGGTGTGACAGTAGAAGCAGGGGGAGAAAAGGCAGTATGATGTGGATAATGAGAGAACAAAGTCTGACTGTCGCCCACGCCCAGCAAAGGGCGCTCCCGTCCCCCGCTTCCAGTCGCCGCCCTTCCCCCTCCTCTCCCCCGCTTCCGCGGGCAGGTCGCAGGCGCGCGAGCCCCGCACGGCCCCGTCTACAGACTCGGCGTCGCAGACTGCGACGTCAGCGCGGAATCCGCGGAGCGCCGGGAGCGTGGGCGGGGCGGGGAAGTGGTGGGCGGAGCAGAAAGCCGGGAGGTGGGCCCGACGTCACGTGCGACGCGACGAGCCCCCGGTCTTCCGCTTCCGTCACTTCCGCGTGCGACCACCGCTTGTGTCCGGCTCGGCGTTGGTGTCGCTCTGCGCATTCGTCTTACCCCCTGCGGTCCGCACGACAGCCCCTTCCCTGTTCCGGGCGGGCGCGGGGGACATGAGTGTCCCTCGGCCTCCTTCCCCCCACGGGGCCCTGGCTGGGTCCCCCGACGGCCGGGGAGCCGGGGAGCCGACGCCGGGTACGTGACCCGAGGAGGGGAGGAGGTCTCAGGGGCTGCCCCGAGGGAATAAACTGCGTGGAGCAGCTCCGGCTCTGCCCCCCCGCGCGGAATTGGGGGACCGCGCGCGCCTCCTGCCGAGCGCAGCGGGCGGGAAAGGTGGTCTGCAAGGGAAGCGGTGTTAGGGTGCGGCTGGAGGCCTGATGAGGTTGTATGTTGGCCCCTGCACATCGTTAGTTATTTCTTATACGTCAGTGGTTGAGGGTGAGTTTGTCAGCAGGTTGATTGGTAATTGGTAATTCAGGTAATTGATGTGTCCAATGTTATTGACCAGTAACTCGGGAAATGCTGTCATGCTTCGTGACAGTACTGCACCCCTGTGCCTCCAGTTGTCTTTCTCAGCCCCAGTTGCAGGTGCAAGTTAAGCCCTAATGCCCTAAAGCATCCATGGAATGACTTGACTTGCTGTGTATCTAGAATGGACTGTTATTGCACCATCCTTCGGGAGAATTGAGAAAACAGTTACGCAAAGCTGTGTCTGATTTCTGTGCTTCAGATGAAGATGTGAGAAGAGATGAGAGAAGCTGCACCGCTTTGGATGTGCTTCCTGTTCCAGAGATATAGGGGTTACCTCAAAATACTACTTTCAGCCCCTTTCTTGGTTATGTAATTTCTCTATGATCTGCCTCTTTTCACACCTTCATAAACTGCTTCTATGAATAGAATTTCCTTGGATGTTTGTGCAGCTTGGGCCCCTCTCTTAGTTCTTACTTGCTCCTCCATCTGCTTGCAGATTATTTTGACTGGTGGTTTTGCACTTCTCTCACATAGAACAGGTATATAAATAAAAGCAGATGTCTGATCCTGAATGGTGCCAAGTCACTTTCACTTGAAACTTTAGAATTATTCTTCACTCTTCTTCTCTTGCTTCCTACTTCTGTTTAGCCTAAAGTATTATACTATACAACTTTCATCTCCCCTTCCTGTTTTCACTGTTAACAGTTGTACGGCTGGTCCTCCATCTCCAGTCTCTTACTCTTCCACAGCTGTGTCACTGCTGTCCTATCAGTACCCCAAGAAAAATTTCCAATCATGTCACTTCCTTGACTAGATACTCTAGATGGCTTCTTATTGCTTAGTAAACAAAGGTCCAAACCTATTAGCTTGGCATTCAGAAGTTCTCATAGTTTGAGTAGGTGGTCTTATACCTCACTATTATATATGCTGCTTGTTTTAGATACCCCAAGTTACCTTCTCTTTCCAGAACAATCCTCTGTTTCCACCTTTCTGCTACTGTTTCCTTTACCCATATTACATTCACTCCCGTCTTAGGATTCTTATACATGGAAATAGTAACCCTCACAAATTGCTACAGGGGACTGTATATTTGTGCCATCTTTTAGGAAGGCAGTTTTGCAATGTCTGTAAAAAATACTTAAGCTATATGTCCTTATAGGAATTTATGCTACAGAAACAGGGACGTGAATATGCAAAGACAACCAAGGAAGCTCATTGTAGCACTCTTTGAAGTAACAAAATATGAAAATATAAGTCATGAGTGTCTTTGTATACACTCAGGCTGTTAAAACACAAGTATGATAGTTTGGGCTGTTTAAGCAAAGGACTTTTGTCCCAGTTATGGATGTTGGGAAATCCAAGATCTTGTTGTCAACAGAGTAGGTTTCTAGTGAGGACCGTCTTCCTGTTTTGCAGCTGCGTGTTTTCTATCTGTGCTTCACATGTAGAGGGAGAGCACTTTCGGTTTCTCTTCCTCTTCCTTTAAGGATGCTGATCTCATCCTGGTGATTCCCCCTCCATGACCTTAGCTAAACCTAATTCCCCAAGCCCCACCTCCCTAACCTCCTAACCTTTGGAGGTTAGGTCTTCAACAAATGAATTTGGGGGAGAGGGATAAGATACATAAAATTCATAATAATAGGGACTGGTTGAATGCAATATGGTAGAATTCTGTTCTGTTGAAAATACAGTAGATCCTCAGCTATATGTGGACATATAGCTAAGGTATGTAAGAGAAAAGTTACAGAACAGTATGAATATTAATTTATGTGATAAAAACAGGATTTATGCATGGGTATGAAAAGATTTTTTTTTTAATTCCCCTGCCCCACTACCACCCAGGACACTTTCTTGAAGGTTGTGTAAGAAACTCCAGAGTGATTATGGAGTGAGAAAATGAGAAAGGAATAATTTTACTTTTCAGCCTAATGGTACTTTTCACATTTTGTGATTTCCTTGTATTGAGCAGTTTTAGAGGAGTTCCTAATTTATTGTTGTAATCTCAGAATCTAGTATGTAGTATATATGTACAGCAGGTGTTTCTTTCAGAGTTTGTTAATATGTTTCTCAGGAACCAGGTGAAAGTTATACTATTTTATTTTGATCACTGAAAGTTTGAATATGACAGCTTCTTGTTTTCCTTAATCTTATCAAAATTTAAATTTGTGCTAAAACTGTATGTACTTGGAATCAGCTATAAGAAAAATGTCCCAGTAAGTATAGTATATATAATGATCTAACTTGCTGTCACTGATTATTATAAGATGGTGATTGAGGAGAATTGTGTCAGAGTTTAATATTAGCTTTTAAAAAGAGTGCTTTTAGACTGCAGTGATAATGTGACCGTACTTTTAGACACATTTTCTAAGACCGAAATTGTTAGACAACCCACTTTTAACATGTAAATAATGTATCAAACTATGCAAAATATGGACCCACATTCTACCATAGGACTAGGAAATATATTTTTAAGCATTGCATTTTAAAACATATATAACTTTTCCATGCTTTTGAAAATCAGGAATTCTTGCTTTTATTCATTTCATTTTCCCACTTTTAAGCTTCAGACTCTTTCAGTTACTGAAAACTACAAGTCCTCTGGTCTGAAAAATATACAAACATACAGAATTTTGCATATGTTAATTTTTTTAACCTAGATTTTACCTTTCACTAGTAGCTTAAAAACATTTTTTGAGTGCTTCTAACCTGTTTTTTAGAGGAAGTTCAGAAGGTAAAAACAGTTAAAAAAAGAAAAGAAGGATACCTACAGTATATGTGCTCTGAATCCCACTGCCAGTCTCCTCTCCCTACCTTCTGCTCTCTTTCGCCTGTGTCAATTTAAAAGCTTCCTAAATTTGATTTTTTCCTTGGGGACAGGTTTAAGAGACACTTCTCCAGATGAAGGGCTAATAGAGGACTTGACTGTAGAAGACAAAGCTGTGGAGCAACTCGCAGAAGGATTGCTTTCTCACTACCTGCCAGATCTGCAGAGATCAAAACAAGCCCTCCAGGAACTCACGTGAGCTAGCAAAAAGCATAGATGCAATCATTTCCTCTTTGGCATAGTCATACTTTACTGTATAAGTGTATAATATTTTATAACAGTTAATGAAATTGGATAGATCTTAGTGATATCAACTGGGAGTGGAGGGGTACATAGCAATCTGAATATGAAAAGGGACTTGAGTACAAACATATCTCAATTAATCATGGCACCTGCTTTATGAAATATCCGGTATTATACCCTTTTACAATTGAGGAAACTGAGCTTCAGAGAGGCTAAATAACTTCAAAAAGATTTCATAGGTAGTGGTAGAAGTAACAGTTGAATATGATGAATAAGCAGTTGTTATGTTTCTTGAGTGTTAAGAAAAGGTAATAAGCAAATTTCAGGGAAAGGTAAAAAAAATATTTCCTGGTAGCTGCTGCTTTTCCTCTTTTATCCACAAATTTCATGATTAATAGATGTAGGGAATAGAGCACTGGAATGCAAGGCACGTGGGTTCTAATCCTGACTGTCATCCAACAGTTTAATCTTCATTAAGATTACTATTGAGAAACAGGACTACAAAGGTGGAGAAAGTAATGGTTAGATAGAAATTAAGTTTACTTTGTTTACTAATAATGGGTTTAATAATAATTAGTAAACTAATAAATTTACCAATAATGGGCAAGGAAAACCAAGTACAAATTTTAGCTTTATATATAGGAAATGATTATTTTTTATATGAATTTGTCATTATAACAACATTGGGAAAAAGAAAAAGAGGTTTTGGGATCCAGATCCTAAAATTAGCGAGGGAAGTATAATTGTGAGTAGCCTCAGTGAAGCTCCCTGAGGCAGTCCAGCCTTGGACCTTCTAAGAAAACAGGTTTTTCTCAGTGGATCATTCAGATATTGCATCAAGACTTCATAATCATGCCCAGCATATTTACTACAGATTATACAAAACTTGAAGGGAAAGAAAGCTTAGTTATTTCTGTCCCATTATATTATAGCTAAATATTCTCTGGAACTTATTAGATTTATGGATCATGAAAGCTATTACTTACAATTACAGTTTTATTATCACGAACACACATCAGCCCTGGCCAAATAAAGAGAATGAAGAGACAGAGGGGAAAGTCTGGAAATGTCCCAACCCTAGAACTTCTGTGACCTCTTCTAGTGCAATTAGGGTATATCACCTTCATGGTACACTGATGTGTTCACCATCCTCAAAGCGCCACTGGTCTTTGGTGTCCAGAGTTATTGGTGTTTCATTATGTAGGACTAATTAATTGGGTCATTGGTCATGTAATTTAACTCATGTAATTTAACTCAGTTTCCAGACTCCTCCCTTCCCTGCAGTATAGGCTTATAAAGGTGGGCTCGAAACTCCAATTCTCAAAGCTGGTGACGTGAGCCATCTGTGTTCTAAAGCTTTAGGGGACCCCATTAGCATAAAGTGTGAGCCAAATGACGTATAAATAACAAAGATACATATGTTATTTGGGAAATTCAGAGGATTTTAGCAGTGCCATGCCGGGAATCTGGGCTAAAGATCAGACAAATTCATAATTATACAACATAGATTTTTACATCTGTTTTCATGAAAGATATTGATTGGTCTGTAGTTTTCCTTTCTTGTAATGTCTTAATCTGGGTCTGGTTTTAGGGTAATGCTGGTCTAAGAGAATGATTTAGGAGGTATTTCCTTTGCTTTTGTTTTCTGGAAGAGATTATGGAAATTGGTGTATTGCTGCCTTAAATATTTGGTAGAAATCACCAGTGAAACCTTCAAGCCCTGGCACTTTTGTTTCTGGGACATTTTTACTTATTGATTTTACTCCCCTAAGAAAGATAGACCTGCTTAGATTATCTGTGCTAAATTTGTGTCTTTCAAGAAACTAGTCATTTCTATCTAAGTTATCAAATTTGTGGACAGAATTGTTGGAAGCATCCCTTTATTATTCTCTTAGTGTCTGTAGGATCAGTAGTGATGACTCTATAAATTATATTAGCATTCATGTCCTCTTTTTTTCCTTTGCTGATATGACTAGAGGTTTATTGATTTTACTGATCTGTTGAAGAACCATCTTTGGGTTTTGTTGATTTTTCTCTATTGTTTTCCATTATAAAAGTCTGTTTTGCTGTCCTGCTTATCTTGAAGTATTGGCTTGTTGGGTTTTCCTTTCATCCTTTATTTCACTTTCTGTTGTCTTCAGTGAGAGCTGAGGGGTCAGACTTGTGATATGTGAGATATGCCTAATTCAGTGCTGGATGGTGATGTTGGAGCTGCCTTTTAGTTTCTTCAGAGCTATTTTTTTTTCCTGTCACTATTCTCTGTTTAGCATAATTATAGAAGCAAACTGCATCTTATTTTTCTTTGTATGTAGTATTCTCTAAAATATTCAACTGGGTGACCTATTGGTTTCTGTTATTCCTGAGATACAAGCATGATCTGGAGAGACTATTAAAGAATTTGGCTTCTCTTTGAATCAGAATTTTAATAAGGAACCTTAGACATCTGGTCTGACATTCTCATTTTATAAATGAAGAAAGGTAGGCCTAAAAGAACCTCTAAATCTCCAAGATCACACAACTGGTTATTGGCAAGGATTGTGAATCCTGGTACTGTTTTTTTCATCTTCTTATCTTTCCCTTTTGACTTATTATCTTTTCCAACTCCAATTTGAAAGATTAGTGTTCCTCAGTTTTCTTACAGGAATGCGATTTATTGTTTTTGAGTTTCTTGGGCAAGACCATCTAAAAAACCTTTAGGATAATACAGAGAGCTGCTAAAAATAATGTTAAATGGTATGACTAGTTTTTAGAATCTGAAATTTAAGCAAGAACAAAAGGTAAATTTAGTTACCAAATGTAGCTTTGGAATATTATTTTTAAAAAGATTATGCTAAACCAGATAACCCTTGGAGAGTTAATAAATTTCCACCTTAACTTTTAGCCTTTAACATGACCAGGATGAATGTGAGTCCTTTTAATGAACCAACACTTACAAGTATGTATAGTTTATTTTCGATGTGTACTTTGTTTCAGACAGAACCAAGTTATATTATTAGACACACTGGAACAAGAGATTTCAAAATTTAAAGAATGTCATTCTATGTTGGATATTAATGCTTTGGTAAGTATGATTTAATTGTGTAGGTTAATGATAGCTTGTTTTAGAAATAGCTAGGTTTATCCTCCCGCTGCTAAATTTAGGATCTTTTCCTCTTGCTGCTAAATTTTAGAATTTATCTTTTAACAGGAAACCTTGATTTAAATTACTAGAACCACCATTATTGAACTTGTTATAGGAAATTGAATTTACTTATCAAAGTCTGGAATGATGTCATAATTAAAGACTTATAAAGGAGAATTAAAAGTAAGAAACTTTTGTGGTACTATTTTTCCCCTTAAGGAAAGTGTACCTCTCTTTAGCTATCAATTACATGTTTTTGGTTTTTTTTTTTAAAGATTTATTTATTTATGCATACAAGAGCTGGGGTACTGGCCTGGGGTGTGGGGGGTGAGAGGACTCACCAGAGACAGAGTGGGGAACAGAACAGTCAGACTGACTGAAACACTGCTGAGAGGAGTAGCAGGCGAGCCAGGAGAGGTCTGCTGCGCCATATGGGTTGCTCCCTGGCTGGCCGGAGGATCGAATTTGTGCTGCAGTGGCTGAAGACAGCCTCACAGGTTGCATCTTAACCCCTTGTGCCACCAGGGAGGCCCATAATTACATGTTTTTTTACTATTAGCATTTTCTTTTATTGTATGGCATACTTGTAATGCCACAACAAATTAATGCTGAAACAGACTCTTTGAGGATGATCAGTTGCATCTTTCAGTATAAATGACAATAGATGAATTTCATCAGAAGCTCTATAGCTTTTCGATGAGAGGAACTGATAATCTATTTTAAGATGCAGGGAATTAACAAAAATAAGGAACTTGTGGGCCTCCCCTGGTGGCGCAGCGGTTGAGCGCTGGGCTGCGAAGCTGCCTGCAGCCTCTGCAGTGCCTGTTCGATCCCCGGCCACCGGTGAGGGTCCCACATTGCGCGACAGACCTTTCCTGCCACGCCCGTTGCTCTCCTCAGCAGTGTATTTCATCAGTCTGCCTGTTCTGTTCCCCGCTCTGGCTCTGGTGAATTCTTTCACCCTCCCGCGCTTCTGACTGTACTGAGTGCTTGTATAAACAAATAAATAAATAAATTTTAAAAAATAAGGGACTTGTGGCTACCTTTCTCTTAAATATTTGAAGTAGCTTGGTTTGCATGATTTTGTGGACTTTCAAATGTATCTCAAAAATGGTAGATGTGGCTTTTTAATATTTTATAACAATGAAAAACAAATGTTCATCTTCTCTAGCATTAGGCAGAGGCCTATGGTAATTAAAGTCATTACCTCAGTATTTCTTGACTTGTGAAGAAAGTGGGCATAGTAACTCTGAATATTTTCCTTCCTCACTGAGGTCATGTTAAACTTGCTGAGTGAATGAATGATGACTGAATGAACCAGGCAAATGCAGTACAATTGCTTTAGTCTAAAGGGGTAGAGTAGAAACTAAGTCTTCCTCTTTCTTCTTGCCTTAGCCCAAGAGAGATATCATCCAGGAACTGAAAACTAAAAGGCCCAGAGAAAGAGAGTCTGTGAGCTCTGGAGCTCATCAGACTGCCTTGACTTCTGGCTACATTAGGGTGCTAACCTCATTACTGATACTTCCCTCATTTTTGTTGCCTTATCTTCTCTTTTTGTTAATTTGCCTGAGAATCAGGTCCTTTATTCTCTCCCATCTCTGAGTGAGATGAAACTGACCTTATCATTCCGGTAAGAAAAGTATCTTCACAGAGGTGGTTCTGCTTAGTCTGATTGCAAAAGCCCAAGGAACATGACCACATTTGTCCTTGCAGGTCTCTCTGCCCAAAATTTGGCTTTTCCTGATGGGCAGGCACTACACTAAAACCGTCCTGTCGACGCTAGCGCAGTGTCTGCCTTGTGAAGGCAGTAGATAGTGTTTTATTTTTCTTACGTGAAATTGACGATTGCATTCTTGGATAGTCTTTCTGAAATTCTAGGATATTATTTTGCATGTTTTTAAAGCAAAATGTATTTTACTTTATTTGTATATAATATAAATATCTGCTCTTTGTTTAATAACTTTTTGATCAAGCTAAACTAAATCAGGTGTTTTAAAATTCCACTAATGATTTAAATTAAATTTGAATTTTGAAATTAAAATGTAGATATAATTAAGGTTTTAAAAAGTTTGACCAGGGCCTCCCTGGTGGCACAAGGGGTTAAGATGCAACCTGTGAACCTCTCCGTAGCCACTGCAGCACGAGTTCAATCCCCAGCTAGCCAGGGAGCAACCCACATGGCCCAGTAGACCTCTCCTGACTCTCCCGCTGCTCCCTTCAGCAGTGTATTTCAGTCAAGCTGCCTGTTCTGTTCCCTACTTTTTCTCTGGTGAATCCTCTCACCCTCCACACCTCTGGCCTGTACCCCATTTCTTGTATGCATAAATAAATAAATCTTCAGGACCTTCCCTGGTGGCACAGGTGGTTGAGCGCAGTGCTGTGAAGCTGTCTGCAGCGCCAGTTCGATCCCAGCTGGCCAACGAGGGTCCCACATGGTGCAGCAGACCTCTCCTGTCTTGCCCGCTGCCCCCCTTAGCGGTGTATTTCATCAGTCGGCCTGTTCTGTTCCCTGCTCTGTCTCTGGTGAATCCTCTCACCCTCCTGCGAATCTGGCCTGTACTCTGGTTATTGTATAAATAAATAAATAAATCCTCAAAAATAAATAAATAGATAAATCTTCAAAAAATAAATAAATAAAAAGTTTGACCAGTTTAGGAAGAATGAACTGTAATTTAGGCATTGACTTGTTTATTCATTTTGATATTCCTGTCTATTTTATTTATTTATTTATTTATTTTTTTTTAAAAGATTTATTTATTTATTTGTTTGTTTATTTGTTTTTACATACAATCACTGGGTACAGTCAGAAGCGCGGGAGGGTGAGAGAATTCACCAGAGCCAGAGTGGGGAGCAGAGCAGGCAGAAGGACCGAAGTACACTGCTGAGGGGAGCAGCGGGCGGCAGGAGAGGTCTGCGCGCCATGTGGGACCCTCCTCCGGTGGACTGGGAGCAGCTGGGGATCGAACCGGCGCCACAGAGGCTGCGGGCAGCTTCGCAACCCAGCACTCAACCGCTGCGCCACTGGGGAGGCCCTATTCCTGTCTATTTTAACTTGACTTTTTATTTACTTTCTCCATGTTAAGTTCACTGAAGCTAAACACTATCATGCCAAGTTGGTGAATATAAGAAAAGAGATGTTGATGCTTCATGAAAAGACATCAAAGTTAAAAGTGAGTTGAAATCTTTTTATATTCTCCATAAAATTAGAAGTTTAATGGTCTTTTTTTTTTTTTTTTTTTTCCCAGTATGTGTTTTCTGACTTATATATCCATATACAATAACACATTTAATTCCTGGTACATTTTTTCTTGTAAAACATATACTTTTTAGTTGTATTGTGGGCTTTTTCTATGAAGAGTTGGACTAGTAGGCTCATACTCTCTGAATATGTAACTGTAATTCTCACTTAAATAAGAGTTTGGAGTAACTTTTTTTCTTGTATCAAAATTTAAAGACAACTTTAATTTAAAAGTTAAATATGAAATGTATTAAATTGCATTCATTACCACAGATCAAAGCACTATTACTTTTAAATTAGGCCATAATGTATAACCCTTGATTGTTTTCTTGGTTTTGGAATTTCTTTGACATAGAAAAGAGCACTTAAGCTGCAACAGAAGAGGCAAAAGGAAGAATTGGAAAGGGAGCAGCAACGAGAGAAGGAATTGGAAAGAGAAAAGCAGTTAACTGCCAAACCAGCTAAAAGGACATGAAAGGTTGTGTTTTCTTCCCTTCTCCCACATCCTTAAGACAACATGAGTGTAGACTAAAGTGAAGGTAGTGCCTTATACTATTGTGTGTGTTTTAAATTCTTTTCCCTGGAGTCCTGTATCTCTGTGTCTTCATTTCAGCCTTTAAAGAGACTTTTTTCTAAATATCATTTGATTTGGGTATTTATATGTAATTATTTCACTTTGTGTTTTGCTTAATTTCATTATTTTGGCCTTGACTCTATAAACTGTATAATGTTTTGATTGTTTTTAATAGTCTGGACTCTGGTTAAAAATTAGCATGAAAATTTTAGCTTCTTAAGTGAATTTAAAAGTTTCAGTTTTGTATTTTATGAAATCCCTTGCCTTTTTGGTAATGCATTGCTGGATTTTGGCAATTGCCTTTTCATTGCTTGGTTAAAAAGAAATGCCAACTATTTTATCCCATGTGCCCCTGACAAAGAGGTGTTATATGCATCATAGAAAAGTGTGTATGTGGGAAATAGTAGCATTTTAGACACAAGATAGGTAAACAAGATGTCTGGTCCACTAACTGTGTGCTCTGCTCCCTAGCATTGTGGTTGCTGTTTAGTGCTTCTGTAGCTTTTGGGTTCAAGGTAGAATATACATATCCCTAAAGTTTGATGGGGAGGTGGAATTCACACATTCAAATATGCTTAAATATTTGTGATAATTGGTAGTAGTAATTAACACACTGAGATGCAGTTGTTAATTCAATATGATAATGAACCCAACTTTCCGCATGGAAGGTCTAAGCACAAGTTGTGTGTGCCCTCTGATTTCCTTTGTGGCTTTACATGTGGTGACTTTTTATGTGCTTTAAAAAAATTCTTAAAGTAGAATGATCTATACCAAACACCTGTTTTATAGTTAATGACAGGAATGATGGAAAATTAGTTAGCTTCTTCACAAGAGAGGCAGCATGATAACTTTTGTGTTTTCTGTATTTTTCTCTCCAGTATTATATGTAGACACTTATGTGAGGGAAATGTTATAATGTTTAATTGTTCAAAATTGGGAGAATATTATTCACTGTTTTGGTGTTACTTAATATCCAAGTGGTCTCTAATCTCTATTATATAGAGACTGTATAGAACCTATAAAAGTGTATGATTAGAATATGTATCTTTTATAATCCACATTACATTTTTGGTAAGCTGTAATTACTACCTCTGATCACATATCAGGCTAATTAATGAAGAAGAAGGCTTTAGATTTGAGTGCTGAGAACTAGAGTGTTTTAAATAGGTTTAAATAGTTTCTTTGAAAGCCTTTCCCTTCTTTAATGAATGATGATTCTCACAGTTCACTTGACCTTGAACTTACATTTAAGAATATAAGTGTATTTTACTTAGAAAGGCTAAGTGTTGCCCTGAAACACTAGCTAAAACTGCCTAGGGCAGGATTCATTAGGGCTTATAGGACAATATCATCTAAACTGCTGAATGTATTCATAACCTGACAGAGACTGCCCGTTTCTTCTCAGAGTGGTTTGTGAACCAACTACAATGGTTATTTAAAATGCTGGTTCCTGGGGCCTCCCCCATTGGTGCAGGTGGTTGAGCGCAGTGCTGTGAAGCTGTCCACAGCCTCTGCAGCATCAGTTCGATCCCAGCCGGCCGGCGAGGGTCCCACACGGTGCGACAGACCTCTCCTGTCTCGCCCGCTGCTCTCCTCAGCAGTGTATTTCGTCAGTCTGCCTGTTTTGTTCCCCACTCTGTCTCTGGTGAATCCTCTCACCTTCCCGTGCATCTGGCCTGTACCCGGTTCTTACATAAATAAATAAATAAATAAATAGATAAATAAATAAATAAATAGATAGATAGATAAATCTTAAAAAAAAAACATAAAATAAATAAAATGCTGGTTCTTGGACACCACTAAATCTACTGAAGCAAACATGTTTTTCTCTGCCAGTTTTTCCCAATTGATTCTAATGCTCTCTAAAATGATGCTACATTAGTTGTTTAGGTCAGAGGTTCCCACATTAAGCAGCATATATCATCATCTGGGAACTTTAAAAATTGCAGACATTCTGTAAGTTTCATACTCATTAGTTCTGGGTTGGGAGATGCATGAAAATTTTAGAGTTTCCAGGATTACTCTGATGCAAGGACCCGCAGTGTTTAAACTATCTAGTGATTCATATTTATCAGGAGTGAACTAGTTTAAAAGCTGTTTAGTAACCTTGGGATTAATCTTTGAAATAAATTCTGAGCTGCTGCTTTTGATATAAAGTCAGATTTAAGACTGAAATAGAAATCTAGTTAATTAATTGAATTTTGGTGACCTGTGTTAAAATCATGCTTAGTGAATGAATGGGAAGGCACACATGTACTTTTATAGTTGGATTATTTAAGTTTTGAAAATTTTTTTTAAAATGTCAGGTATATATATATATTAGCATCCACTATTTTTAGGTCACTTGTAAATCAGAAGTACTATTACCTTGTAATTAAAATCTAAAACTGTATTTGTATTTCAGTAGCAAGTAAATATATCTCACTAACTAAACTTGAATGGTACCTCTTTAATTAGTCTTGCTGTTTTTTTGCACGAAATATGAATTTATACTTAGGAGAATTTTGGTTTTTGGTTGGAAAAGATTGCCTTTGTTTTGAAATTACATTGCATAGGTACTAAACTAAAATGATAGATATTAGCTTTGTGTTTATTTTGCAGTATATATCATGTAAATATGCAGACATTGAATGTAATGTAGATGTGTCCTCAGTGAGTTTTTGGGTAGATACAGTTTGTAAATAATGTGAGTTATACAACCTCATACCTTTCTATTTTGAGTTTGTCAATGAGGACTACTTTTTATATATGTAATAAAAAAGGTCCCTGAATTATCCAATGTAATTTAGCAAACATTGTTGTGTACTTTGCACTGTATAGTTCCTTACATGAATGTTATTTCAAAAATTCCACTTCTTTTTTTCCCCTAATTGTCATCTTCCTCCTAAAGTTCTCTTTAGATTTTGTCATAATATGGCTGGGTCCACTCATCATTTTCAGAAAAGTGATAGAAAGTTTTGTTCAAGTAAGAATGGCCCATATTAAAAATCTAACAACAACAAATGCTGGCGAGGATGGGGAGAAAAAGGAACCCTTTTACATTGCCAATGGGAATGAAGACTGGTCTAACCGCTATGGAAAGCTGTGTGGAGAACCCTCAAATTACTAAAAATGGATCTACCATATGACCCAGCAACTCCTCTTCTAGAAATCTACCCAAAGGACACAAAAATATTAATTCAAAAGGAAACTTGCACTCCTATGTTCATTGCAGCACTATTTACAACAGCTAGAATATAGAAACAATCTAAGTGCCCCAGAACACATGACTGGATCAAGAAGATGTGGTATATATACACAATTGAATACTACTAAGCAATCAAAAAGAATAAATGGATGGAGCTGGAAGGGATTATGCTCAGTGAATTAAGTGAGAAGGAAAAACAAAAATATCAGATGGTTTCACTTAAAGGAAGAACATAGGGAAACCATATAAGGGATTCCGCCCCCCCCCCCAAAAAAAGAGACAAAATTAGCAGGTGAACTACAAATTTGAGACATTCATGGGGGGGGGGCGGGGAGGGAAAGGGATCAAAATGGGCAGGAAGAAACAAATGCAAATGTCTGACGGTAAGGTGTATCTTGGTGGTGGTAATTTTATGGATATAACATCTGAGAGGAGAAAGCAAACATGAACAAAGTTGTAAAAATATATAAATAAATTCAAAACAAAACAAAACAAAGTTTCATTCAATTACATGATTGAATTGAATGAATTGAATCAACTCAGTTTCATAAAGTTTCATAATTGAAATAACTCAGTTTCATAAAGTTCTTCACTATTCTTTGAGGACAAAAATAAAAGCTACTATTTTAAGTGGTTTGGTAGAATGTGCTTAAAAATGGACCTCCCTGGTGGTGCAGTGGGTTGAATGCAGCGCTGTGAAGCTCTCCACAGCCTCTGCAGTGCGCATTCGATCCCGGCCGGCCGGCCGGCGAGACTCCCACATGTTGAAGCAGCCCTCTCCTGTTGGGCCCGCTGCTCCCCTCAGCAATGTATTTCAGTCCTTCTGCCTATTCTGCTTCCTGCTCTGTCTCTGGTGAATCCTCTCATCCTTCCGCACCTCTGGCCTGTACCCCAGCTCTTGTATAAAAATAAACAAATCTTTAAAAAAAAGTGCTTCAAAATGTTCCCTGCCTATGTAGCCTATAAATAAGAGAAATTTCCAAATTATAGAATAGTTAGTTCATGTCTTTTATTTTTTTAACTTTGGAAGTCCTGGAATCCCAAATGGAAGACTTATGTGGGTGACCTTTGGAGGAAGGGGACATGAACTCTCAAAAATTCCTCACTGAATTTCACTGATTTTTATATCTATGTTTTCCCAAGATTGGGCCCATAGATCGTTAGAGTCACATATATTTATAGCTTACATATATATCATACATAATATTAAGAGACTATGTATCAGGGGCCTGCCCGGTGGCGCAGCGGTTGAGCGCTGGGTTGCGAAGCTGCCCGCAGCCTCTGTGGCGCCGGCTCAATCCCCGGCTGCTCCCCGGCCACCAGAGGAGGGTCCCACATGGCGCGCAGACCTCTCCTGCCGCCCGCTGCTGCCCTCAGCAGTGTTCTTGGGTCCTTCTGCCTGCTCTGCTCCCCGCTCTGGCGAATTCTCTCACCCTCCCGTGCTTCTGACTGTACCCAGTGCATGTATAAACAAAAACAAACAAACAAACAAATAAATAAATAAAACATGCCTCTTTAAAAAAAAAAGAGAGACTATGTATCAGATCTGTATATAGAAGAATGCTCTAAAGCAATGATTCTTAATCACTAAACCTGCTAACATTACTGCACATATTTTAAAAGTATGTTACTTAGGTTCTCCTTTTGGATAAAGGTAGTTCTTATGCAATATTGTTTGTTCACATATGTTTGCACAGATTAACCAGATATTTAAGATTTGTTCTGTTGCTAGCTTACTTTAGCTGTGTTTGCCTGTATGAAGCCAGATCAATGTTAACCTTTGGGTGAGACTAGTTTTATTTGTAAAGCCATTAAGAAAGTGAAGGGAGTAGCCAAGGGAGACAGTTTCAATTACTGATTTAAAGAGCTCTGGAGGCTTTTAAAAAGTCTAAAGAAACAGTGTGAAGGAATGGTAATCAAAGAAAAGACAGGTAAACTTTGTGGTGGGTGGTAAAAAAGAGGAAAGGAAAGACCAAAATGGAAGTAGAAGAGAAAGGTAATATACATCCTTCGTATACTCTGAATAAGCTTATAGGTTTCTGTTTAGGATAAAAGTAGTGAAAAGTTGCTCCCTGTTGGTACTTCATCATAAACTGAAATAAAATTTGTAGCTGTTCATTTTGATTTCCATCATAAACATGTTCCTAAGCTATTTAGGAGGCCTGCAATGTTCAATCCGGATAAGGACAGGGCTAAAAGTCACCTGCATGGGTGCGGCTTGCTTCTAGTTTAGTCTTGACTTTTGAACTTTGCTGAAGACAATCAAAAAGTATATTGAGGGCCTCCCCTGATAGTGCAGTGGTTGAACACTGGGCTGCGAAGCTGCCCGCAGCCGCTGCAATGCCGGTTCAATCCCCAGCCGGCCGCCCGCCTGTGAGGGTCCCACATGGCGCGCAGACCTCTCCTGCCGCCGGCTGCTCCCCTCAGCAGTGTACTTCGGTCCTTCTGCCTGTTTTTTTTTTTTTTTTTTTTTTTTAAAGATTTATTTACTTATTTATACAAGCACTGGGTACAGTCAGAAGCGCGGGAGGGTGAGAGAATTCACCAGAGCCAGAGCGGAGAGCAGAGCAGGCAGAAGGACCGAAGTACACTGCTGCGGGGAGCAGCGGGCGGCAGGAGAGGTCTGCGCGCCATGTGGGACCCTCGCCCGGTGGCTGGGGATCGAACCATCGAACCGGCGCTGCAGAGGCTGCGGGCAGCTTTGCAACCCAGCGCTCAACCGCTGCGCCACCGGGGAGGCCCCTTCTGCCTGTTCTGTTCCCCGCTCTGGCTCTGGTGAATTCTCTCACCCTCCCGCGCTTCTGACTGTACCCAGTGCTTTTATAAATAAATAAATAAATAAATCTTAAAAATAAAATTCCTAAAAAAAAAAAAAGGCATATTGAACACTTTGCATAAGGAAATACTGGGGAACAAAAATGTGTATATAGACCTGAAGGTTCCTGGTCTCTTTCTGCTTTGACCATTATATTTTAAAGTACATAGGGCCTTAGGAATATAGTGGTTAGGAATGTGGACTCTGAAGTGTTTATATCCCTGCTTGATCTGGGGTCTTAGATTTGCTTAAATCCGGAATTGTAAAGTTGGGATAATAAGTGTCTCTAACTTTTAAGTTTATGAGGTTTCATGATATCCGCATAAAGCCCTTAACAGTATAGAAAGAAACTCAAGAAAATGTGGTTTGTTGTATCACAGTATCTTGAAATCAGATATCCACTCAGGGTGTGGGGTGCATGGTTTGTGCTTATTTTGCCCTTTTTTTGGCTTTTTTTTAAAATTTGCTCACGGGGTTTCTTCTGTCCAAGCTAGCTCCTTCACCCTGTTAATGTCAGGATTCATTTCTTTCTACTCAAATGTCATTTCTTTATGGTTTTCAAACCACCATGTTTCCATGGTATTTCATAATACATTTGTCTGAGCATTTGCACTATAAGTTATGTATTCATATGTCTCAAGGTGAAGTAAATGTCTTTTTTTTTTTTAATTTTGGCACAGTAGTACCTGGCCTTGGTGGCATATTAGTGATATCTAGGGAGGCAGAATCAATAAGGAGTGTGTGTGTGTGTGTGTGTGTGTGTGTGTGTATAGAATGATTGTAGGGGCTGGTGATTCTAAAATCTGCAGATCAAGACCAAAAGGCTGGAGACTCAGGGAAGAGTTGATACCCTAAAGGCAGTTCTGGAGAGAGAATTCTCTCTCCCTCAGGTGACTTCAGTCTTTTTCTCTGAAGGCCTTCAATGGATTGATTGAGGCCCACCACATTATTGAGGTAATCTGCTTAGTCTGCTGTGACTGATTTTAAATGTTAGTCTTACCTAAAAAATGCCTTCACAGCTACACCTAGACTAGTATATGGCCAAATAATATAGTTACCATAGTCTGGCCAAGTTGCCATATAAAACTAACCATCAGCGTTGGGATTAAATTGAATCTAATAGCAGAGAGATGCAATTATTAAAAATAGCTATAATAACAAACTGGATTATAGACATAAAATTTTACAATAAAACGACCAAATTCCTGCAGTCCAGACATGACTAGGGACCCTATAATCTGGATAAGCTGTCATCAATACTTTTGTGATTAGTCATATTTTTAAACATACTACAAAATGATAGCTACTTACAAGACCTTTGGACTCAAATGAGCTTAGAGATAATGAGCATACTGGACTGTAGAAAAATAGGTGGCACATCTAATTAGATTTACAACGTCTCTATCAGGGCTGCTCAGTTCTCTTAAAAACAGCTTTCGGTAAGAAAGAGGTGGGCAGTTTTAGAGCCCGCTCAAGCAGAGCGCAGATACAGAGCCTGATAAAGCGCAAGTGGGGTAATGCTGCCATCTGGTGGTATTTGCTCCCCTAGTACTACAAATTCTAGTACTGTCTTGATGATTCAATTTTTTTTTTAAATAATAAATTTTATTTTTATATTCCCCCATATAATTGCAACCGCCCCATTCTGACCCCAATCCCTCCCCTCCAGCCCCCCACCCCCCAGAAAGTGTCTCTGGTTCATAGTTTTTTGTTGATTTTGATTTTCATTTTCTTATAGTTATTCATTTTCCTGGTCCCTTATTTAAGTTTTCTAGATTCCTGCTATGAGTGAGACCATCTGGTATTTTTCTTTTTCTTTCTGGCTTATTTCGCTGAGCATGCTCCCTTCCAGCACCATCCATGTTGCTGCAAATTGCATGTG